GATACCAGAATATAGTTCTATTCTAAGAAAACGTCAGATTCATTTATCATCTACTATTTTCATTTTCAAAAAGCAATGAGTTTGACCGTTTTTTTTTTAAATAATTTTTGATCGAAATATCAGAGAGACCTAGAGTTTTCATTATTCAAGGAACGACATCCTGGGTCATCTAGATATGCCATTCAAAGGTGAATTTGCTGAAATCAAAGATCTCAGGAAAATTCTTGCAGCTATTGAGTGGAACATGCTAGAAAATTGGAACGTGTGTCAATCAAAAACGAAGAACTTTTCCTATCAATTGATCGTGTTCCAAATCAAAATACAATAGGAAATGACTTTAGAATATCTTTTTTTCAAAATCTGCGCAGAGAACTTATCCGATTGATTAATTGTTGATTAATCAGATTTCGGCATATCTAGATGGTCCAAGATCTTCTCTCTTAAATAGTAAAAACTTTTCGACTTTATGTTATTCCTGTCAAAAGTTATTTAAAAAACCAGTTAGACTCATTGCTTTTTGAAAACGACATAAAGCTGTAGGTGTTTATCATAGGCAAATGACAACCGATAATAATATTATTACAATAGAGTCGTCATTATACACTTATCTATAAAAATAAATTTAATATAAAATTTAATTACCGGTGAGAAATTGTAAACATATTTGTTTTGGTGCATCAGCTCTTGGATATTTTTCAATAAGATTTTCATATAAATTTGATTTTTCATCATTATTAGTTAAATTTAAACATTTTTCTAACATAAAATAATATTTTTTATTTTCTGGATTACGTTCAATTAAATCTTTTAATATAGTTTCAGCACGATCATATGATGATAAACGCATATATAAATCATATTTAATTTCAGCTAATGTTAATTTATTATAAATATCTTTTTCATGTGTTTGTATATGACGTAAAGCATCTTCATATAGTTCAGCTTCACGTAAAACAAGATTTTGATATAATAAAAATTCTGAATGTTCATTATCATATGGTTTATCTGGTGCTTGTGCTGGACGATCTTGTTGTGTTTTACGAAATTCTTCTAATACACTGTATGCCATATCATAATCACCTAATAAATCATAAGACATAGCAAAACCAATCCATGATTGACGTTGACCAGGTTTTAAATTAAATAATTGATGACGTGTTTCCTTAAAGAATTTATTAATTAATATTATATTATTAACTTATTTTATACTTACTTTATAACCTTCAAGATCACGCATTTGAATTTGTAATAAAGATAAATCACGAAGAATTGTTAAACTATCCTATTAAATTTAACAAATAATATGATTAGTTATACAATGACTTTAAATATTAATCATACAGATTTACTCCAAGATGAAATAAGCACGTTCGTACATTTCGTTCTGGGTTAATTTCGATTTTTTTTTTTTGTAATGATAACTCACATCAACAATCCAAATAATAATTTGAATTGTGGAAAATATTTCCAATAAGGATTTGAGAGAAATAAAATCTTTATAGTTTTCCAATAAATCGAGAGTCTCTAGAAAAGTCTAAGCCTAGTTTTTCAACACATAGAACTAGAAAATAAAAGTTTCTTCTGATTATACAGAGCAACTAATTCTCTATAAAAAATGAGACGTTTCCGTGCTGTTCATGGCATTTTTTTTTGCGAAATTACACCGATATTAAGAAACATTCCAACAAAGAAAATATCATGAAGAGCTTTTATTTCGGAGTTTTGAGCGTTGAAAAAAAAAATTAGATTGTTGACTTTCTAGAGATCCTAGTTTTCTGGAATATTGTGGAGATTTTATTTCTTTCAAATTCTTAATGGAAACAATTATCTATATTCATATTATTATTTGGATTATTTATACGAGTTATCATTACGGAATAAAATCGAAATTAAATCTGTATGAATAATTTTTGAAACTATTTTATATAAGAAAATTTCTTATCTCACCTCGCCTACCTTTTCACATTGTAATGCTTTTTTATATGCTTTTATTGCTTCATCATATTTACGATCAGATCTTTGATATAGACCATAGACATGCCAAACAACATGACTTGACATATTATTTTTAATACCATTACGAATACTTTCTAGAGCTTCTTCTTTTTTACCCATTGAATTAAGAATTAAACCTTTCATAGCCAATGTTTCTAGAGAATAAACAAGATTAAATTCAATTTTTCTTTAAAAAACGAACAAAAGATATATGATGCATACCACCATGATTTGGAAATTTTTTTAAAATTTCTCGAGCAGCTGCTAAACCTTTTTTATACTGTTTTTGTTCATAAAAACGCTATAGATATAATATAGATGACATATAGTGGTTTTATGATAGATATTTCTTTTAACATACCACCAATTTTTTGAATAAACCATTTTCTCGTGAAGGTAATTGTTGACTGGGAGATTGAGTTGTTGGAGGCATTATTGTCTAGACTAGAAAAAAAAAGGGAAATAAATGATAGAAATTTAATTTTAATTTGATATTATTTATATACCGTATGATTTCTTTAAATTTCAATTAGGAAAAAATAGATAGGAATTTAAAGAAAAAGAAAAAAGAAAAAAGAAAAAGATGAAATACTAAAATGAAAGAACAAGTAAATAAATAAACAACGAGCTCTAAGAAAAGAAAAGGAGGTCGACATTGGAACATCCAATATTTATTAGAAATAAAGATTCAAATAATTTAAATGGTTAACTAGAAACCATTGATAGATTATCATGAGAATAATGAATTATAAATTAGTGCCATCTATATTTTATTATAATAATCATAGTAATAATTTTACACTTATAATCATACTTTATGAATAATGTTGCTTTGAACTTAACTAAATATTAAATCTATTTTGAAAATAAGAACTCATAAATAAAATTAATCATCAACGAGATCTAATCATTTTGAACATAAATAGAAATTGACTGTTCGAATATGGGAAGTATCGTATTCATAAAGTAAACATCATGTATACTTCTGTGTTTGTCAGCGAATCAAATCATAGCTACAAAACAAGAGCGTATTGACGACAATATCGAACATTTGAAGAATAATATGACTTTTCACAACTACTAATTTCAAGAAACAATTCCATTTTTCAGTCAATTCTCGATCAGTAATGACAAAACTTTTACATTTTTATTCTCGATCTATTCATAAAACTAAGCTGAAATATATTATTGAATTTGTTTGATGTTGAATCATCATTCATATAAATTTGTTTTTTATTTCCAATTAAGTTCGAAATTAGAATAGAATATCTGATTGCTCGATCAATTCAAATCGATCATGTACAATCTTAATATTTTATTCATTGATGGAATATTCTCATATGTAATATGTGTCAAAAGTGGATTGCAGAAAATGAATAAAATTTTGTGATTAGAACTAAGCCATTGGCAAAACCTCGCTTTCATGTTTTAATATGAAGTTTAAAGATTTTGAAATTTTCAGTTCATCTTGGGTTTTTATTAAAAAGTCAAGTTTTTGCACATGCAAGAGTAAATAGAGAATATTTTCAATGAAAAGATTTCAACATATATGTTTGAAACGTTCAGGCACATATTCGAGACTTCTTGATTTCATTTGTGCTATGCTTTCTTAAGCTTCTTATCCATGTATATATAAATATTGACTATGTTATTGATGCTTCTCTACCTGGCTTTTTTTAATAAGATTTTTCTTTACGTTTGAATAAACTTATATATAGTTTTTACACAGACAAAAATTATGCATCCATAAAAGACATATATGTGTAAAACTTAATTCTATCTTTTAAAATGAACTGATTCTAGAAAGAACAATGTCAAATAGACGAAATTCGATAAAAATTGACTGGAATTCATCAATAAGACATGCATTTAAGAGGTGTAGATTTTTTTATTGTTCACACTGACACGTTCACACAGGCGTTAATGCATTCAGAGAGAGTTAATTATAATTAAACTTTCGTTTATGAAACAAAATTGAGCTTGCATAAAGAGTTAGACATGAATTATTCATGAACAATGTACCCGTATAACAAGAAAATTATTGCAATTAACAATTTCTTTTTATCAGTTTATTAATGACATCATAATATAATTACAATAAAAGAGACAAAAGAAAACATATTTTAATTTCATATCATTAAGAATCTCCTATAAAAAAAATACCTTCGAAATTGATTTTCGTCAATCTATTTCCAGATCAAATACCAGTAAATGACTAAAAAATAATTTTAATGAAATTAAATTTCGACAGCAACTAACTCCGATGAAAGAGAACGTTTATATAAATGATTAAGAAAATTTATTCATTTAATTTCTATTTTATACCGATATAAAACTTTGTCAAAATTATATGAAAACAATTTTTTACGAACATATATTTTTGGTTATACCACGCTAAGAAGAAAGTTATACTTTTTATTAGATTCTAATGGACTTTGATATATCATGAGAAAGGAAGCAAAAATTGCTTCCTCTTTCGGCTATCTTGCACGGTGGATATGGATTTTTGCTGTTCAAGTCAGAAAACTAGAAGATATCACTTACACCCACACCTTCTATTGAATGAAGTTATCTATGTATTTTAATTTTTTTGTGAATAAATGAACGAAAAATCTTAAAACACAAATTTTCTTATACAGTTTTTTGAGCTCTATATAACGGCATATGATTCATAGAAAAAAAATGCTTAAATTTTGAATTGTCCGCACCGTGTACTTTCAATCCTCTTCGACTACTCATATACTTTCACAACACTATGAAATAGTATATGCTACAATCGGGCTTGTGCGCAAACAAGGCACATCGCATCTTTTTTATTTCATTAACTGATTCATCGTCGTGCTACACGTTGCTCAAGCGCCCTTCGTACTTTGTAGCGTTCTCGCCTCTATGAATCACACAGTCGTAGACTTCGCTCTTTTCTTCATATTGACTCATAAACTTCCGACTGCAATCAGTTGATATTTAAACGTGTAAAAACAACAGCTACCACCTCATTCTTTACGATGCTCCGAATCAAGCAAGAGTCTTCTTTTTCTACTCAGCAGCCAGAGCAACAATACGTACCATTGAAAAAAGTGAGTGTCGAAGCCTACATTAAATCGTTTGCTGCCGATGTGACTGTCAAACAAATTTTTCGCAATGATGAAACAAAACCAATTGAAGCCGTTTACTGTTTCCCAATAGAGGAACAAGCAGCAATCTACTCATTTGTTGCTCGGATTGATGATCGAGAAATTATTGCACAATTGAAAGAAAAAAAGGAAGCACAACGAGAATACAATGATGCTCTTCAACAAGGTCATGGAGCATATTTACTCGAACAAGATGAAAAATCACAAGATAATTTTATAATCAACGTCGGTGCACTACCACCCGGTAAAGAATGTCACATCCATATATCGTACGTCTCCGAACTGGATTTAGTTCAAAATGGAAGCCAGATTCGTTTTGTTATTCCAACAACTATCGCACCTCGCTACAATCCAAATAAAGGTGGTATCAGTTCACCGTTCGGTACTACGTCCAAATATGTTCAAACAGCTCCATACACAATTGAATTTCATTGTCGAGTAGAGAAAGCCAACGTCTCTCGAATCAGCTCGATGTCTCATCCAATTCAGGTTGAAGTCGGCCAAGAGAATGTCTATGTCATCGCATTTGCTCAACAAAACACCCATCTCGATCGAGATATCTTAATAGATATAGAGTTAGCTGGTAACCGTTCAAATACCATTTCCGCTGTAGAACCTGGCGCTGTTATGGCTTCATTTATACCAACTGAAGAAGATTGCCAACGTGTAATGAACAATGTAGAGATGACCAATGAATTTATATTTGTTGTCGACTGTAGTGGATCGATGGAAGATGAGAACAAGATCGGATTGGCACGGGAAGCTATGTTACTCTTTCTCAAGAGTCTGCCAGTAGATTGCCATTTTAATATCATACGATTTGGATCAAATCATGTGGCATTATTCAAAGAGATCACTTCTATTTACAACGAACAGAATGCTCAAAAAGCTGAACAACTTACCAAACATTTACGAGCTGATTTGGGCGGTACTGAATTAGTAAGTTTCATCGATGTTATCTTAGAAAATCGACCATATGTCTTCATTCTAGTTAGGTCCACTTCAATGGTTAGAACAACATCCTCCAGGACAAGGTCGTGCACGACAAATATTTCTCTTGACTGATGGAGAAATTTCAAACGTCAACGAAGTACTCGATTTGTGTCGTTCGATGGCTACTTCAACACGAATCTTTTCATTTGGTTTGGGTCATTCACCAAGCCGTTCTCTGGTCAAAGGCCTTGCTCGAGCAACAAACGGACGTTTTGTTTTTATTCCACCCAACAGTAGTGTCGACATTTATGTTGGTGAACAATTACAAAAAGCTCTTCAATCTTGTATAACAAACATAGAAGTGAAATGGAATTTAGGTACGAATGTTATGAGTGCACCCACAAAAATGCCACCGGTCTATGTTAATGATCGTCTGATTGCCTATGCACTTGCCAGTGATCCAATGTTTGTCTTTGATCACAATCCTAGTGTCGAATTATTGACCGATAAAAGTCGATTGGGCAGAGCAAATGTTGATACAATACCGAATGTCAGTGTCAATGGTACCATTGCTCGACTTGCTGCTAAAGCACTCATTCTAGAATTGCAACATTCGAAATTACCTTCATCGGTCAAGCAAAACATTTCAGGTTCGCTACAAAGTCGGTTTCAAGAAGATCGTCCATCATCAACACCAGCAACGACGATCGATGAGAAAGAAATCATAAAGAAACGCATTATTGAGCTTTCACTCAAGTATCAAATTCTGAGTCCCTACACCGCTTTTATCGGTGTCGAAAAACGAATGAATGCCAGCAATGTTGATATGGTCTTACGCGAAATACCAATTCAAATATCGGCTGATGACGAACACTTACAAGTATCCCAGGTCATGAATTTTCCTGCCTGTATGATGCCATCACCTCCGATGATGAATCGTTCAATGCTAGCACCAATGTCGATGGCTTCGATAAAACAATCGACGCTAAACTGGGACATGGATTGTGCCAATTTAAGATCGATGTCTCAAGTAGATTTATTGTTAAATGATCTCGTGTATAAAGACTGCTTGGAAGCCGAAATAGCAGAGTCTGATGATTTAATCTCATCAACTCACAGTTCTAATTACCCTCCAATCAGTTCATACCAGCAGTCTTTGATCGACCAAGACAAAAGTGAAGCATGGCCTATAGGAGATCAAAATATTGTTCGCTACTTGATCAACAAACAAAAATTTGATGGTTTATGGGATTTGAATACAAAAAGTATAGAACAATTGACTGGAAAATCATTGACGAATTTTCCATCATTCAACAATCAGCTAATTCTCATTACGGCTATTGTTGTTGTCGCACTTGAAACGCGTTTCGCCACAATGTCGACAATGTGGCATGGTGTAGTGCAAAAAGCTCGCAAACGCCTTCTCGATTTACTTGGCAAAGATGCTAAACAACTTCAATCGTTATTGGAGAGTATTCGTCAACAATTTTGAACATTATTTGTCATCGATTAAACATGAATGTTTTGCCTGCTTTTATCATTTATCTGTAGAGCAAAAAAACAAATAAAAGTTTTAGTCCACAGAAAAGAAAACAATAGAGAGATCGACATTTAACCGAAAGAAGAACATATTCGACTTGACAGTCGATTTACAGCGAACATCATTTGAATAACATTGACATCATTACAGATCAAAACCTAAAAGATATCCCAGAAGTGCGAAAATCATTTTAAAATTTTTTGCTCTCATATTCCACATATCCAACTCCTTGAAAGTTCGGTAGATTATTGCACCTATTTAGTACTAAATCATATATGTTAAACTTGAAACTTGAATTCGATTGAAATTTCAATTTTCAATTTTCACGTTCAAATTTAAAACTTTCAATCATCAACTTTCACCTTTCTGTTTTAAATTTGTAGTTCTCATCTTTCAATTTTCACTGATACAATTTTGATTTTCAATTTTAAACTCTCATCTTTCAACTTTTCGCGCGAAAGAAGATACATCGCGTCTTTTTCGAAGTAGGACAGGATCCTTCCACAGATATGAGTGCCGCGAAAGGACTGACCAAATAGAGGACATATGCAAAGGAAACACACAAATCATCGCAGTTGGTGTGGGTACTACGGAAGGACTGATAGAATAGATGATATACATAAACGTGAAACTTGAAATCTCAGTTGAAATCAAGTTTCAAGTTTTATACTACTAATATTCTGAGGGTCGTTAGATCTACTCATGCACGAAATTTCAAGTCGAAATTCCACCATAATAATCGATCGAAAATTCTGTAAAATGACCATAACTGAATTGCAAAGGGCCATGGGCATGAATCCTTTTAGACTTGTTCTAGTCATACTACAACCTCCTTGTGGGCCTAATATATGCTGAAACGGTTGCTTACAGTTGAAGCTTTACTTTCAATTTTTCACTTGTTGTCTCAAATCATTTTCTGATCATAGACTAATCATGAACAACAAAAATATCAAGTTCTTTCATAATAGGTAATCATGATAATTAGATTTCCTCATCATGGAATGAACATTGATTAGAACAATGAATAATTACTAATCAGAGGTGAAATAAAACGATGTTACCATAGTTTTCAAGATTTCTAGTGTTTTACTCCATTTTTTAAAATTTATATTAATTCAAGCGTTATTTCCCACTATGGCTTTCGTTTGTTGTTATTCAAGAGGAAAAGAAAACATTTATAAACAAAAAAAAAAATACTCTACTCTTTTTGAAAACAAAAGTGAAATATTTGCATTGTTAAAAAAGACCGATTTTCCTGAAATACTCGAATAAAACTCTCTGTTTCGGAGGAAATCGATGATTCCATCTGAAAATTAGAGAAAAAGGTTTCGATTATATGCATACTTTTCTCATATTTTTTTTATACAGGAGGAAGAAATCTCCTCACTATCACTCTTCAATCATATGACGTGCTACTGACAATCGTTGTAGATACAACAATGGGATGGAAAGGGCAAATTCATATTTAATAGTTTTTTCGAAATCCATAATATGAACAATTTAGATAAAGTGTTCGAAGAAAAAAAAGGAACTCTACTAATGGAACCATATCTCATTCAAACACGAAAATAGATTTTCGAATTTTATAAGCACATTTTTAAAACAACGAATTACATCGTTCAACGCTGTATTCTTTATGAAAATTTTAATCTATTTATATTTAGTTTCTCCAAAGAACTTTTTAGTTTTCGTAATTCTTAGAGAAAATCCTGAAGGATTATGCATTTAAAACAAATAATAACAATGAAAATGGAAAAAAATTGTTTTATTGAATTTATGGAAACAATTATTTTTAACATAAGCAGATGATTTCGATTTGTGTGTGGAATTTTAGTTGTTTATTATTTTTTTGTGATTAAGATAATACTAAAATAATGAAATTTATTGATGCTATCAATGAAGTAAATACAATAAATAATAGTTACAGTCCTAGACAGAAGTAACTACCCGACCATGAAGTATTACTATTCTTTATAATATTGAACTGATGTTTTGAGTGCATATGTAGAACAACAAAATTGGGTTGCAAGTACCAATCCGCTCTTCATCGGTTCACATATACTGCAATTATGATTTATATATCTTCTTTCCATTACGAAAAAACATATTCAGTTTTTGTTTGTCATTTTGCTATTCAACAAGTTACTCCTGGTTTTTGTTGTTTTTAATGAAAATTCATCTACGGATGATGATGAACCATATGACAAAGTAAGGGTGTGAGTGAGAAGACCTACATTCACATCCGATAATATATATTTATCAAAATGTAACTACTGAATATTTCTATAAATTTATCTATACAACACGGGCGTCTTTATGCATTTTTGTCTAACACACGTTTATGTTTCTATTTTCTGTGTTAGTAATTTCAAACATAATAAATCATTTTTATGATCGCCATGTATATTTCACGAATGTCTTCAACTTATTGTAAATCTTGTATATTTTTTTCTTCAGATTACCATAAAATTTTAAATCAAATGGAAACATACATTTCTCATTACTTTCTTATATGAAAGTTTATTTGTTGAATGTCAAGTATTCAAAAAACAAAACAAAACAAAAAGAATATATTTATAATGATTTGCAACGTCTCTTGCCTATCATATTGTTCACTTAAACTTTTTCTTTTTCTGTACAACCAAAAACAAAAAAAAAAGATCTATACAAGATAACAAAAAAAAAGAACCAAGAGAATAAATGAAAGGCAGAGTATATAAACATTTATCAGCATGCATTAATTATATGCCTTATTTGTTGTTAAAGAGAAAAACTATGGTTCATTATGAACAATAAAGCACATGAAGAAAGTAGAAACCGGTCAATTTGTACATAAGAACGTTCAAGATAGTAAATTTTTGATCAAAACAAAGGCCAAACATACTACTTGTTATAAGATGACACAAAAAAAAATAAATGTATTGAAGTAATATTAAGCCAATAGAAAAAGATATTACATATACAGATACACAAACATGAATCACAGTAAATAAGAGAAAAGAAAAACAGAGAAACTTATATATAGATAATATTTAACTTTTTACTAAGGTGGATGAAAACGTGTATATTTTGCACTTTCAGGATGAATTTCCATTTCAGAACTTTTATATTCATTAAGTTCTCTTCGTATAAGTTGTTTATCTCTTTGTGTTAAACGTGTCCATGGTTTATCAGCACGTCGATCAACATCATCACAATCGGATACTTCAATATAATCACAAAAACGAATAATTTTTCGATCTCGAAGTTCTATAAAAATTAATTAATATAATCAAAATTAAAATATTTCCTTTTTTGTTTTTACCTTGAATACTTGGTCGAAAACTAAGTTTTCGTATTAAATAACGTTTTTTTTCTTCTTTTTCTGCCATTAATTCAGCTTGTGTTTTAGCACGTAAAATATTTCGTGCTTCAAGTTCTTCAGGTCTTGGTCGTAATGATAATTTACGTTCTAATTTTGTTTCAATATTTTCACGTTCATTTTTACGTTCATCGAATGATTTAACAAGAATATGTTTATCATATAATTCATCTGGTAATGGACGATCTTTAAGAAAACGTGCTAATGAATCATTACGTTGTACATTAGCAAAACGTTTTTTTGGTGTATAATTTTCTTCATCGGATGAAGAATTTTCATCTGAATTTGTATTTTCTTCATTATTTACTGTTTTTATTGTTGATGATGGAGATAGAAGAATAACAGGTTGTAATTTAGGACTTGGTCGTGGTGATGGTCGTTGATTTTCTCGAAAAACAGGTATAACACGACGTTTAATACCATTTGGTTTTTTTAATGCACTTTTTTCAGGTTGTCGTGATAGATCAGGTTCTTTAGCTGGAATTTCTTCATATTTAGTTGTATCAATATCTTGTATAATACTTTGTTTTGTTGTTTGAATTATTGGTGTTGATGAAGAATTTGTTGATGATGATGATGATGATGATGATGATATATTATTTGTTGTATTAGAAATTTGTTTTTCATTGATACTATTTGATATTAATGTTGGAGATGATGTATTTCGATTATTTACAGGTGAATTATATATTTGAAATTTTTCTTTTAATATTGTATTTGATGGATTAATATTAGCATAAATAATATTATTATCATTTATTATATCATTAATAGGTTTAAATTGATTTGATATAAGATTATTGGAAAAAGCAACATGACGTTGTTCAATTGTATTAGATGTTGAAGGAGAAAATGGAGTTGGTGTAGTAGTTGATGATGATGAAAGATTATTATTTAAATAATTGGAACGTATTGGTGTAAAACGATTTATATCAGGTTTAGGAGCAACTAAAAACATATATATTGTAATTAAATCACTTATATTAACTTAAAAAACTAGAACGATGAAGTTTTATCAGCAATTATTTATTCTGAATAATATTTATCAAAAACTTTAGTGAATATATTGAAAGAAAAAAGAATAATTTTGTCAAGTCTAGGAAGAAGATTATTGTTTCTTATGATATCCGATCTTTCTGGTAAATTAGTTTTGATTCCTAAATGTTCAAATCGACTAATGAGAAAGAAAAAAGTTTAATTAAGGTGACCTGCTTTCCAAAGTTTCTAAAGAACGGCTCATGAGAAATATTTAAAACTTTCAGAGTAAATTGATCTCGATGAGTAGAACAAAAGTTGTCATAAACTTCAAACTCCTAAATACTTCCTTCTAGCAAAATATCTGGATTGCAAAGGCTAACATTTGTTTTTTAGAAGATACTAGTATCTGTTTGGGATACCTACTTTTTTTTTGTTTTATCTCTTTCCATTCAAATAAAAAGATCAAAATACTGAGCGTATCACATGTTGTTTTTTTTTCGTAAAATCTGCCAAAAATCAACGATGTCATATTTTTTAAAACAAATGTAGGTACCCTAAACAATGTGCAGTACTTGTAAACGAGACAGCAATGTTAGAAGTTTATGATCCATGTTCTTAACACCTTTGGAATGAGAGAGATAATTATTATCATGAGAAGAATTTTGCATACAAAGAATAATTGCAGTGCAAGTTTTTGTCAGAATTGGATTTACTAAAAGTATTAATTAACAATGAAGAGCTCGTATTTATATGGCATTTGACAGAGGACACTTCAAAGCTATATCAGCGATGAACAACCAAAAATTAAAAAAATTTTGATCTTAACATCTGGAAAGAGGATGTCTCTCAAGCTTCTCTCAAAAAGTGATCTTATGTCAGGTGCATTCAAATCGTATGAAATTTTCAGTAGTATCTCACGACGTTTTCAGGACATACTCAACAAACAAAGGTTAAAAATAGTTTATTTGGGAATCTAAAATTCTCTGTGAATCTTCAATGTATGTACGTAATTTTTCTTTTGTTTGAACGAGCATGTCAAGATGCACGGTGTGACAAAGTCGTTTTAAACAAAATTTTAAAAAAATCAATAAAAGATTTCTTGTTCTTTCTGAAAACAGCATATTGTTTTAACTATGTGATGACAGAAATCATAGAAAAAGCGAGGCGTCAAATAAAAAAAAAATCGTATCATTTATGAAAAATTAGACCTTGAGCTATCGTTCCTTACATTTATCTTAATTTCAATAATTCAGACAAAAATTTGACTATTTTTTTCAAGGTAACCTTAAAATGAATTGATATACATACCAGGAGGTGGAATTTTAGATGAATTGATTGATGATATTATTAAAGGTGTTGTACTATTTGTTGTTTCTGTCGTTGTTGAAACATTAACAGATGCTGGTCCTATTGATAATGGTGTCAATGTTTTTGTATTTTCAATAAATTGTGTCGGTAATGTTCGACTTGTTGATAAAGGTTCTGGACGAGAAGATATCGATTCTGTCGTATTAGTATTTGAAGTCATTGATGTGGAAGAATTTGCCCAAGGTGATTGAATATAACCACGAATATTTGTTGATGGACGATCAAAATCTACTGTCGCACAATCAACACTATTTGATCGAATTGTTGGAGGAGCAATTTGTTCTGTAACAATAATTCGTTGTGATGATAGTGGATTTGAAACTAAATCAGTTGACATTGAACGTATAGTTGTCGATGGATGAGTTTGTGATAGATCATTATCCATTGCCATATAATGTTTAGTAGATGAAGGAGGTGAAGATGGTGTTGAAAAATTTGTTGATATAGTTGATGTTGGCGGTGTTGATAATGATGGTGGTTTTTTTCTTGTACGCCATGATGAAAATCCTTGACGTATCATTTTTTGAAGAGAAAATTTTCCATTTGTATTATTTATTCGTTTTGTTGTTTCATTTGATTTTATAGTTGAATCTATATCAGATGGTGTTAAATAATTAGTTTCATTTTCTGATGGAATAATATCATGTTTAGTTGTTATTGTTGCATTTTGATAATGATCTTTTGGCATTGTAGATGATTTCGAATTTATTTGTTGATTATATGTTGTTGATGAATAATCGTATGAGTCACGAGTTAATGGTGTTGATAAAGAATGAAGATTGTTATTATTATTATTATTATTGATATTAGGTGTGTTTATAAGTCCAACATTTTCATATGTTGCCATAGGTAAGATGACATCCTGTGAAGAAATTAAATGAAAGGAAAAAAAAATAAGCTTTGAGTATTTATATATTATTCGATCATCGTTTCTTTCTCTTTTATAGTTCTTATCAATAAATATATATATATATATACATATATGTATAAAGAAAAGAGAAAATGCTCAGGGGAAAGAGATGGAGAGAGAGAGAGAGAAAATAAAATTTGAATAGTTGACATGAACCATGTCTACCAAGGTTGAAAGGGCACTTGTGAATCCATTCTACATATGTGTTCATATGGTGTGTGAGATGAATCTGATGATTAAAAAAAAGTACGAAAAAAAAAAAAATAATGATCATTGTTAACAAATAATTTTCTTTACAGACGAACATCATTATCATAAATCAATTATACACATACCTTATCAGCTTTTTCTTTCTCATTAATATTGTTCTCAGACGTATATATGATAGATATTTCTTCACTTTGACATCGTCGCCGTGAATTAGTTACACCCATTATCTTAGAAAAGAATTAACTAAAACTTTATTTCTTTTGCATTTATCTCAATGAAAATGATAAATTTTGTCAAATTACGTTCTTCTTCTTCTTGTTCGTCATTTGAAAGTAATACAAAGTTTTTCTTTTTCGTTTGCTGTCTGGCCAAGCGAACAAATGCATATATGCGTAATCACCAATGAAGGTCATCCCGCCTACTCGCATATTGCTCGCCTTCTTTTTTTTTATATCTATATACATCAATGCAAAAACAAAATAACATATTGGCCTTTCTAACCCTATTAGTGTATTGTTTACTTATCAATCACAAATAGACCAATCTATATCTCTATACACCTATTTCTCTCAAAACTTCCATTAGAATACATGGTATCTTATCCAAGAGAGAGAATAATGATGAAATAATTAACAGAAAAAAGAAAAATAACAACATAACAAGTCGAGTTTGATGTATGATTCATTGAAAACTATATACATCGAAACGATTTAAACATACATAGACATAAGCTTACCGATACAGTGCGAAGCGAAAGACAGTAGAAGAAATTTATTTGATAAATCCCAAAACAATCAGCTAAAGAAAAGAAGACAGCATGAGACGCCTATGAAAACAAGAAAAACGATGTCGCAATGTCAATATATTTATATATTCGTCTTTCTATACAATACACGAACGAGTAACGATTAGTTGTAATAGTGTTGTGAAGACATCGGTATAGATTGTATACAGAAAAGAAAATGCATTAAGTATCAAAGAGAGAATCAACGACGCAAAATATCTCATATGAGAAAGAAACATTGCGATAAGTAATATTCTTACTAATATATATGCAGCTGGCGCATAGAACATAAAAAAAAGACATAATCACTATCAGCTATTATTCGCTCGAAAATATTTTTGTGGAATTAATAAATATTCTCATATATGAATAAAGATTAGTAATATATAATAAAAAGAAAAAAAAGAAGGTAAATTAATTTGTTTTCTATATAAGAATTCAAATAATATGTATTTTTAAGAAGGTAAAGGAAGATATTCATCTAACTTTTGTTTTTTATTCATATCTACAGGCTGTAATGTTATAGAAGAAATAAATATTAAATGGTAGAAAAATGATATTCATTTAATAAATATGATTGGAATCAGTATATATATATATATATATAAATTCATTTGAAACTTACACCTGTATTGGCAAAGGTGTAGTTGAAAACATTCGAACAATTTTCTTCGTTATATTCATATTTATTATTTTCATTCTTCTTCGCATCGCCATAAATAGCATTGATAAGACCATTTAGATCGTCATGTTTTTGATAGTAATAATCATCACTAATACTATGAGATAATTGACGTGGCTGAGAATGATAAGATTTACTTCTTTGATTATTACATTTACTTGGATTCGTATATATGGAAAGCGGAGATTTTATGTTAGATGGTGGGCGACGATATACACCATAGACATTTGAAGCATATGGTATATTAATATGGTCATATGATCGATTGAATAGAGTCGAACGTTGAAAATATGATGAATTCAGTCTTCGATCTGTTTTCGAATATGAATTCCAATGAATGTTAACTGATTGATCATATTGTGGTTCATATTTATTTTCATATAAATATTTCGATTGAGTTGGTGATGATGATTGAATCGGTTTAGATGTCATAATACATTTTTATCGCCAATAAATATTATTTATTATTATGTTTTGTTTGCTTCTTTATTTTTTATTTAAATTTCTTCGGTTCACTTTGGTTTCGTTTGTAAAATTAATGTTATAAAATATACTTATTACTATTCGTAGAACATACACAGAGGAAGAAGAAGAAAAAAAAATAGACAAATGACAAATATTCGTCGAACGAGAACATTATAAGTGAAGCTTTTTTTCCCCCCTTTCGATTTCAATCGTCTCTCTGTTTTTTTTTTAATCATGAAATACACTTAAAGCAAACGAAAACGAAGGCTAATACTGAAATCATACAACATGAAGGCATATAAATTGGATGATGAGAGAAGAGTAAATGTAAGTAAAGAAAAAAAAAAATTAAATGTATTTCGAAAGACAAATTGTGCAAAGAAATCACTCAAGAGAACAATAAAAAGTCAGCGTGTACGTGAACACTTTTACTTATAAAAAGAAAAATAAATGAAATCATTCTGTCTACTTACCAATCGATTAAATTTTGTTAAATATAAAAAAAGAATGTTCAAATTCTTCTGAGTACTATAAATAATCGAAAGACACAATACAAACACATGTATAGAAAGAAAAGAACTCAATAATATAATGATAACAGAACAACATTCAATCATAATGAATCATATTGACTCAATATTCTATTTCTATTTGTCAAATCATTCAACCAATCAATATTGATTTTATTAAGTGTCATCTATTTTTTGAAAATTTGACATTTATTAAAATCAAAATAGATAGAAAAATAAAAACTAACAGAAAAAGAAATGATTAAATTTTTATATACTATCTATCATATTATATTTATTATTATTAATTTTTTAAATTGGTTGCCATGACATATAAGTAATTCTCAAGTTTGCAAATATGTGTATATTGTCAAACATAATTGAATTTAAAAAAAAAATACATAAAGTAATGTTCAATGACTACAACAGATCGAAGTCGTATACGTCCAATGGGACATTCGACTATTCATCAATCTCAGCATACGCGTACATCACCAGCAAACAATTCCAAAGGAATTAAAATTCGGTATTTTTTTTTCATTAATATAAAGAAAATAAAATCAAGATGAAAGAAAATTTTTAGATTTGGCAATAATCAATCAACATTGACTTCAATGTCGAAACCAGCATCAATATTGAAAAAACAAAGAGAAAATAAGCCATACGTTGATCATTTTAATGAAAATGTCAACGATTGGCAACCACCAAGTGATCTTGAATTAATTTCAACAAAAAAAATGTATAGTCCTATTGGTACACCACCGCGATTACGAACGTATGTAATGTTTTTTTTTTTAAGAAGTATATGTGTCTTTGATTGTTTGAGGATGAAAAAGATTAGATATGACACAATAATTTATGAGTATATAGTAAAAAAAAAGTATTTGCAATAAAGATTAATCCTTTGATATACATTAAGAAAATAGATCCTCATTGAAAAAAAAAACCTACAGTAAAGATAATATTTAATAAAAACTAAAGCAAACGTAATATAATATTTGAAAAAAGTCAAATAGAGAATAGCCAGTTGAATCACTCTGTGGTAACGAAGAACAATGTTTCAGTTGTATCAAATATCAAAAAAAAAATTTTTTTGACTTTGATATAATCAAACATTCCTTCTTTGTACATAAAATAAGTGTAACTCCTAATTTGTTTTGTTTCCTAAACAATATTAAACTAATATGCTTTGTTCTTTCGCATATCAACAATATCTCTTAGAGAGAAAATTAAACTATTATTCTAGACTCATAACTCCACCTGGTATTGAACCCTATCGAAATACTTTCAATTTACGTCGAATAAATAGTCCATTACCATCACTTGATGACTGGCAGTAAGTATCTAAGAAAAATACAAGATTTATTTTTAACAAAATAAAATGACTTATTTTTAACAAAATAAAATGACTTATTTAGTATTCCTCCAGCTGGTCTTGATACATGGGGACTTGATCCCATCGATTATCGTTTAAATCAAGATCTACATTTAATTCGACGCTATCCATCACCATTAACACATTTCGGTCTAGGAAGTCAAGCTCAAAAACAAAAAAAGGTAATGAACCAAAAAAAAAAACATTTCTTTTATATTAAAACAATATCAATCTGTTCTATCAGTCATACATTGTGGTACCTCGTCTATCCAGTTTCACCACTCCACCTATTAGTAGAGATGGTGCTGGTGGTACTTTCACCATACCTTCTCATCAAGCAGCATCAACCTACGTTCCTGATTCTGAATATATATATCTTGAAAGAGTTCGTTCATATCCTTCACCGAAATTTCAACGAGTGAGTTTGCTTATCAATTCTTTTCTTTTCTTTTTTTTTTTTTGTTCTTGCATCTTAGAACAGTAATCATAAACTTTGTTTTATGTCTCTATGATGAAAATCAAAGATAAGAATGAAAAAAGAAAAGCGAAAAACCGACAATATTTATTTTTAGGAACCTTCTGATTACATTTATGTTCGTCGTAATGATGCATTTGCAAATCGTTTTATAGAAGATTTTATCGGTAAATGTATTGAAGATCAATTTATACCAGATATTTTACTTGAAATAGTTAGTGAACTTGATCGAGAAGTAAATATGCTCATTATGAAAGATTTTTTTTTTTGAAAAAGTGAAAATATTTCTTATTTTGAAGAATAAAAATCAAAGTGTAAAATCGTTTAAACCTGAAGTTGATCGATATTATACTGAATTAAATAATTTTATTAGCCAAAAAGAAATTGATAACTCTCAGTATGTTGTTTCTTTGTTTTTTATTTTTGTTATAATGAAATTTTTCTTTTATTTAGTTTATTCTCTGACGCATGGATACGTGAACTTGATTATCAACGTCCACCAATTCCTTCATCAAATATTGATTCTAATATATCATTACTTAAACCATTAGATTTCAGAGAATTTCCACGTACTCAAATAACGACAAAAAAAAGATATCACGATTTACCTCCAGATATACAAGGCCGTCTATTACAAGATATTAATCAAGAATTAATTGATTACGAAGTAGAAAATATGGTTACAGAAATAACTGGTCAAACTTTAACCAATAAAGTGAGTATAGTGACGAACAAAAGTTTAGAGCAATTGTATTTTTAAGTTTTCTTCTCGATGGTAATAGCTAGCAAGAATCTGAAAAAAGAACATTTGTGTAACTGAAATGATTCTCTATTAGGATTGATAGGTCAGAAGGTTCCTACAAAACTGCTTGGATGAGGATCTGAGAAAAACCAAGACGCCTAAAACCAGTTTTCAAGTTTCCATTTTGAAGTTGCTGGGAAAACATTTCCTCTGCTAGAGCAAGATGAGATGTCTTCAATCTCTCCATTACTACTCTTCATCAAGCTACATTCAATTTACGAACGACTCCAAAACGTAAAATCTGACACAAAAAAGTGAAATTTTCAAAAAAAAAAATAGATGAGAAAAATGCTTCTTGGGCCTTCTCTAAATTGAATGCAATTCGATGAAGGAAGATCATGGAGAGGTCGAAGATATCTCATCTTACTCTATCAAATAAAATCTTTTTTTCAAAAACTTCAGATGGAAGCTCGAAAGTTGGTTTTGACGGGTCTTGGTTTTCTGAAAATTCTCACCCAAATAGTTCTGTTGGAGCCTTTGAACCTACCAATCCTAATAGAGGAGAATCGTTTCAGCTACACAAATGTTTTTTGTTTTCAGATTGTTGCTAGCTATGACCATCGAGAAGAAAATTTAAAAATACAACTGCTGTAAACTGATGTCCGTCACTATATATTAAAATTTTCTTTTTTTCATTTGTTAAATTCTGTTATTTATAGTTACGTAATGTTCCAGCTGTAAATGATGCTACGAATGATATTTATCGTGATATTGAATCGGAGGTTATAAGAGAAATAATGCGTGATACAGCTTACGATGTTCATAGTTCTCAAAGAAATCAAATTGATCAAGTTCAATTTAATTCAATAGAAAAACAAGCACAAAATAAATTATTAGATACAATATTGTTAGATCAATTAACTGGAAAATATATTAAACAAAATGGTTCAGTTGTTGATGTTGATGATCTTTCGCGTTTCTTAGACGGTAAATGTTCTTTTTTTTTGTGTTATTTATTTTATTTAATTGAAATATATTTTATAAATTATATTTATTTTAGCAACTATTCTTGATAGTTTAGTTTATCATTATCAAGATATAAATGATAATCGTTCGAGAACATTAGATAATTATGCTTTAAGAAAATTTCATCTTAATTCATTTATGAATATGGTAAGAAAAACAGAACATGACAAGAAATTTTATTTGAAATTTTATTTTTCTAGACAATGGATTTATTATTAACTGAACTTAGTGCTAGTCTTATTGAAGATATGAAAGATTTAGATGAACAAGAACGAAAAATATTTTAAATTTATCCAAATCTATCTTAACAATTCTTTTGTTTTGTTTTTATATAGCTATTGTCTTAGAAAAATAGTTATCAAATCCTATGAAATAGGATCAGACAAGTATTCTATTTCTCTTATGATATTATCTATTGCGTATGTGATTAATACTATTGGTCAGTAAATGCTATTATGTGACGTATTATTTTTTATTATTAAAAACATATTGGGAGCTTCTTTTGTGTGTATTTATTTTCTTTTTGCTACACGTTCTTTTTTTTTCTCATATCAATTTTCCTACACAATATGTAACTTCTTGTTGATGTTTCCCTTGAGTGTTGCTGCATACTTAACTATTGTTTTCTTTACATACACATCTGTATAAATTATGAGATTGACAAAACATATGATAATTATGCAGTTTTTCACTACGCTTAAATAAATGTTATGTGTATTTATGATTTTTATATGCTTCATTGTTAGTGAATGAAACTTTAAGCATGATAATAAATGATGCTGAGAAAATTTTATTTATTGATTTAATAAAAATTTTCATCGCATATTACAATTATTTTGGAATATAGTTATTATATGATTATTAATCATTTTTAGTTTGGTCTTTAGTATGAATTTGTTTGATATAATAGACTGGTAAAATGCTTGATGATTCGTGACTTTATATTTATATTATAATATGTAAGAAATATGAGCTTACCAGGATGAATTATTTCGCATTCTCATCATTAGTTAAATTAATGATATTAATTACTCTTAGTTTATCGAATGTTGTTTGAATTTATACTTTGTCTACAAATATATATATATAAGTTCATTTTGTTTTTGAAGTAGACAAATAATTAGTCTCCTCTTTCATCTTTTTAACGATTTCGATTGCATTTATTATTGAACATTCATGTAAACTTATAGTTTAACAAATTGATTGGAATATAGTCGTTCGATGAAAGGAATTGAATTCACTTGCTTAACTCGATGGGATTCAAGTTTTTCCATTCGACTCTGAAATACAGTGTAGAACATCGAATGTCGATTGTTGAGAAATCAGTAATTCATAGAAAATGAATAATCATCTGTATACATGCGTATGAAACATGTCTCATTAAGAATATTTTTAGTCTAGAGGAATTCGTTTTCGTTTTTTTCTCAAAATTTATTATATTTGAAAATAAAATAAATCCCAACATCTGTCTTTCTACTTATCTAGAAGTACACTACGATTAGTACATTTCTGTTTACGTGATACATTGTATGTAACAATCTAGTTGAAAACATTCTAGTAGTAAAATGCAGAAACTTAAGTCTCATTCTGTTATAAGAAATATACATTTATTATCTATGTAACTTTTAGATCGACATTTCAATCTTACTTGGAAAAGATATTTTGTCTTGATAGAAATTATCATGTAAATAAAAAATAAAAATAAAAATTGTCATTGTCTTCAATCTATCTAATTCTTCTACAAATGGTACGTAGATGTTACTAACGGATAGACTCACAAGCCATTGATCTTTGTATGTCAATATGCAGTACTTTAGCATGAATCCGCTTGTGCTTGCAACGAATCAATGACAATTGTGCACATTGATGATACTTCTTCAATTATTGAATCAATCTGATCCCGATGACTCATTCAATCATACATTTTTGATATGTAATCACTTGTTCAATTCGAGTTATCTCACGAAATTGATATTCTTTTACAAGACAAATAGCCAATCTAATATGTTGTAATACTGTAGGAAAGCGGTAATCATTCCTGCCTGTTAAGGATGTGTTTATTTTATAAAAGAAAAACATTGAGCAGCAAAATTATATTTTTCCAACAAAAATAGAGACTTTTTTTCGAATCGATCAAAGTCTTGTTTAATGTTCTCGTAGACAGTGACCGTGAATCAATGAATCGGAAAGTACGAAATCATGATGCAGGTTTATTTTTGACAGCTTCAAATATAAGCCTCTTCCATGTCACTATTCCACTTGTTAGTTGGTCGAAATAATGATATGCATTATCGGCTTGTTTCCACTCACTAGAACATTTTTTTGGTGCTTTTCTATTATCGTCTCCTTCCTGTTTTATTCCTTGAAATCTCCACCAACAATTATTAAAACCACAGTTTGTTGGCTGAACAAAGTTTTTACATAGAGGACATACAGTTGTGGTATCATCGGGATCGCATAGAATATCGAATTCCTTGTAACCAATTGGTATAATAACATTCTGGTCGTAAGCGTCACAGTCAGGGTTGGTACATGTACCTTCAAGACATAAACCATACCTGGTCCTTCGCCAGCTTGAAGCTGTTTGAGACCATTCACATCGCTTTAAGCTTTTGCTGTTGCTAACATCCGCGAAACGCGCTCCCAACGCACCTAAGTTACGACCTTTCATGTTGGAATAATGTAAATCTAGTTCCGATTCTTCTTCTGCACCATAAGATGTTAGCGTTTCATCATCTTGGTCCAGTATATCTCCGTCGAAAGTAAAGTACATACTCCTTAATGCATCTTCATCGTCATTGGTCTTTTCACAAGTTAACTGCTTAAGTTGTTTAACAGTGGTAGTGGGTTCGACATAAAACTCGAGTAGTCGTCCTCTTCCTGTATGTGTTCGAATATAGATCTTCATGACGACACTATAAACAAAAAGTGAAGCATGTAATTAATTTCAGAAGCTCGAATATTCATTTTCTCGATAGATACAACATTTTACTATTTCCTAAATGATTTATTCTGTCAGAATATCAGGAAACAATCCCAAAACGCTGAGAATTCTTTTCAAAAAACGTTCTATCGCACTAGACTGAACTATTTTTATCCAATATGAACTTACCTTTTTGCTACCAAGATTGTATCAATGACTTTTGCTTCTTTTATACGAGAGTTCAAAGATCAATGACAATCTAAAATTCAGAATGATGTCAGACAAAATTGATATAAAATTCATGATATCTGTATCAAATTCGTTTTACTTTCTTTCATAGTGAGCTTTGAAACTAAAAGTTAAATCTTATTCTCAAGCTTTTAACACGAAATTTCATCAAACAATTTAATTCTAAATTCTAAGCCATTACAGTATTTTAATGAAAGGCATCAGTAGAGACAGAGTGAAGTTGATTATTTTAGAAAGCTTTGATATAGTTACGCACTTTACATTATTCTTACATACGAATGCAATTTTCCAGAAAGTTGATGTGATGACTCGTGATGGTTATTGACGATGAAA